CCCCTTATCTTCATCTATATCTATCTTTTTTGGGTTTTCTTTTTTTCTAACTGGCCAATCTCTCATTACTTCTTACTAGCCATTCCTGTTATGGATATTATTAAATGTTCCCTGTCCAAATTACTGTGTTTTTCTCTCTCTTGATCAGACTCTGACTGATTCACAACCCTCAGACATTTCTCTACCAGCCAGACATAGCCTGCTTCCCTAAGGGAGCTGCACTCTAGCTGCATGAGCTACTGGAGGGTCCATGTCCTAGTAGATTAGCCACAAGTTCATGCAGGGGAATGAAAAATAAGCATTGCCCCCTCGAATTCCCCTGAGCTCCCCAACTAAATGGACAGAGAGTCACATGATCATATGCACATAACATGGTCAGTGCTGGTGGGTAACACGGGCTTGAAGGTACCACTGATAGATGTTCCCAGTAGCTATGTTTTGGGAGAAGGAGGTCCCTGACTGTTACCCAGGAGGAGACTCTTGAATCTTGAAGATAGATTGAGGCTCTGCCAGGCAGGTGGACAAAGAATATGCCAAGCAGAGGTAACAAGGCAAACTGTTAGCTAACTGATTCTAGCATGAATATTGAGCCTTGATGTTCCTGTAGAGCAGAAAAACCCTGTTGGATCAGGTGACAACATGGTGTTGGTAGCACCACACCATAAGGTGGGAGCCTTATCACAGTCTATGAATCTTCTCCCTGGCTCCCATGTGACCATTAGTACTGAAGAGGTGGTGCTTTTGTGCTCCAAAGTAAACAATGAGCATCATGTGAACTAGCTTTTACAACCAGCTGCTCGAAATTGCAGAATACTCAAGAGAGTTTTAAAGCTGGAGTATAGACTCCATCCCATCATTTTACAGAATAATCAACTGACAACAGACTGTCAAAGACTCATGCAAGAGCAAGTCAGAGAGAGAACTGCGATCCAGTGTCTTGGCAAACTATGTGGGAACTTTTTGCTGCCATTCTTGTAGGGTATGACTCAGCATTTATACTTGTTGACTGGGACTAGAAAGAAATGAAAATCCAGGGTATTGTAGCTCAAGGATCCCTTCCAAAAAAAAAGCAAGAGGATGTCCAAGATGTGTCCCATATTCCCTACTCAATGGACATGTAGTTCAGTGGCTCCTCTCAGGGCTAGGTACCTTTAGCTTCTTCATCATGACCCTCTCTGGTTTTAGGGCCAGATATTTTTGTCTCATCGGTAACAATCTCGTTACATATCTCAGAATTAAAACCACTTCCTCATGGATCTTTTTACTGCATGAGGCTTATCAAAAGCTCTGCCATGGCAATTATGAGCCCATGATTTTGTCCTCTGTAGCACAATTCAGTTTGGAAGCATGGCTCAATTCCTTGCTTTGAATACCCAGAAGGGATTGCTTATGTCTTCTTATTTTTGGTGGTCTATAGCTGTTTCCATTTCTGTACAAATGGTGAACTGTCCTTTGCTAGGGAAGGCCTGTGTTGTTTCCTTATGTCCTGTCTCCTTAGTGATAATCTTCTCTTGTCATGAACGTTATTCTTCCCATATTCCAAATCTGCAAGGCCATCTTTTGACAAAGTGGTTGTCAATATGCCATGCCTGCAGGAGGCCCAGGAAGGCCCCTGTGCCTCCTGGTACCCCTCTTCTACAACTCTGAGCTTAATGGGAATGCATGTGCCATGGCTCTGAGGCAAGTGAGAATGGGGTGGGGGAGTACAGAAAGGAGGTGAGAAGAACAATACCTAATGGACAGCCGGCTTATCAATGACAAAGTTTGCCTTTGTCAAAACATGGGGCTGCACACTTGTTTCTAGTCTAAGGTACTTGTATGTTGACACTGGAAGGGGATAAAATACATCTCGTTCTACTTTCTACTTACCATGAAGCCATGAAGATACACTTGAGCTTATCCCAAGAAAGAATCTCCTACATTTCTGTATAATTATAAAACACCCAGGAATAAGATAGACTTTTATTTTATTATTATTTTCAAATAGATTAAAAATTTTTTTAATGTTTATTTATTTTTGAGAGAGACAGACAGACAGGCAGACAGAGCGCAAGCAGGGGAAGGACACAGAGAGAAAGAGAGAGAGAGAGAGAGAGAGAGAGACAAATCTGAAGCAGGCTCCAGGCTCTGAGCTGGCAGCACAAAGCCCGAGGCAGGGCTCAAACTCACAAACCACAAGATCATGACCTGAGCTCAAGTCAGACGCTAAACCGACTGAGCCACCCAGGTGCCCCTCAAACAGATTTTTAAAAGATCAGTTTCCCTTACGGGATCTATCAGGCCAGCTTTTTGTGTGTTAGTTTGTAGTCTGGCTGACACTTCTCAGCTAGGGAAAAATAATATTCTTGTTCTCTTTTTCTCATAAAAGGGTCCTGTGGTTACTGGATATTATTATCCCACTCTTAGTAATTCCTTACTGGTTCACTTTTTATTTGAAATTATTTCTGCTTATATTCTTATTATTTATTTATTTGAAGGTGCCAAATGTTTTCTTCTGAGCATCTCAGGAGAATGATTTTTGACAATGCTTTCGCCAATGCTACTGTTCGTTAGGTTTATAGTTTCTAAGGATGTGGCAAAATCAGGCTTGCTGAGTTTACATTATGTTTCAAAGCACAAGAAATACTTCCCAGTGAAGTATTTCCACTGAAGTGGAATGTCCCGACTGCATATACAAAATAGAATCTCCTCTCTCAAGGTGCAGAATCAGATGAACAATGGAAGTATGAACACAAAGGGATGTTCAAGTGACCAGTGATATGAGTCATTGCTTGGCCACTGACTTTACAAGGAGAGTCACGAAGGAGAAAAGCCCCCTGTGCATATAGCTATCACGGTTTTGAAAGATTTAGCAAACACACAACTAGATTTTTATCCCTTTCCTCCCATATCATTCAGAAGCATGCTATTAACATTTCTTTAATGGTTTCCAAACTTGCGGGTGAAATTTCATTTGCAAAAGGGGTTTAAAGAAAGCAAAAGTCTCCAATCTAATTAACTCCAACTTTAATTCAACACTTTCCCTTGATTTACTATACATTATCTTGAGGTTTAAAAATTTTTTAGATCTGTATATATGAGAATGTAATTAATCATCTGTAAAGCATATAAATCCCAGCAAGACACTTTGTCAAATTATCTCATCTTACCCACGATCTTTTTATCCCACCAGTTTTGCCTGGTTTCTGATTTCACTGAGCTGGGATTAAATCAGTGCATTCCTCCCACTGCATAATTAGGACTGCTTTAAAACTCTGTAATTACAAACCGCAACTGTAGATTGTGAATTGCATTCGCTGTCATAACTGCCATTAGCCTGGTTTCTGATTCTTCCAGAACAGTGAGGTAAAGATGCCATGTTGATAAATTCCACTGCTATAGGTCTGCTATTGATTATCCGCAGCAATTCTAGACTTGGATGGGATCCCAAGCAAGATGCAGAACCTGGGAAAATGCCAATGTTTTGTGAATCAAAAGGACTTTTTAAGAAGAAAAAATGTTTTTTAAAATAATAAAACTGTGGAATAACTAGTATAAAATTTTCAACTTATGCAATTGCAGGATTAATTTTGTAAATGCGTATAGTCCTAATCTATTGGTCTTCCTGGGAGGGGAAAACTATTTGGGATACTTATTCACCCTAATTTTGATTACTTTCTACAAAGTGAAATCAAAATGCTTTATGAAGGTGTTCCAAGGCTTTATTTGACAGTTTCTCCTTGCTTTACTCCCAGTGATCTGCGAAGCCCACGGTCCCCTTCTTACCATAAATCTCCCCAGCATGCTTTCCTCTCCTGCTTTTTCATCAGAGTCTAGGAGGGGAGGCCCACTTAAAAGTGATATAAAATCTTCCTCATGCAGGAGGCTCACTCTGATGAGATTTTGGCTACATATTCCCAGTTCTAAATACACAGCAAAAAAGTCTTTTCATGATTAAAAAAAGAGGTCAAATATTTTCTCTTTTAATATAAGATGTTCAATATCCTCATATAAACAACTTCCTTCAGAGTAATCTTTGGTATGTGGAAACTCATGTATCAAATGGTAAACTCCATTATTGTGCTGGTACCCAAGCTTGATTCACAAAGTTAGCCATTTTCATCAAGTTTCTTTGTTAAATCTCTTTAGCCAATGAACACATTTTGCTATTTTGTAAATTACTAATTTGAGAGAAACAAAAAATTGCCTCTTTCTATTTAACATATTTAGAAGCTCCAATGTCTTGCTTATAATTATCTAAACTGTATATATGTATGTATGTATGTATGTATGTATGTAAGTATATAGACACACACACACTTTGACCACTACTATTTCCCTGCTATGTATTTCTGGATGTTTATAAATGAACTGAATTGTGGTGGGAAAGAGCCCAGTGGCGCTTAACCACTACAATACCTCCCTTGTAATTTGCTGAAAGCAAGTGGTATTCATTTACGGTTTTTCTTGAAGTTTGTAACAAAAGCAAACAGGTTGATTTTTGTTCAGAATCTTCAGATTAGTACATCTAAAGGCTATGAAACTAGATAAATGCATAAATCAGACTAAAGAAGTAAGCTTTTGAAGCAAAGGGATGGGAAAAGAAGACGGCTTTGCACAAACTAGGAGTTCAGTCCATCTGTTTGAGTAAGAATTTTCAGGGCATTGTTAGTAGGGTTAACAATGGATAAGAAAGAGAATTATTACTTGTGAGTTGCTCTACTGTGCAAAGATGTACGGAAGTAACAAAGAGAATTTAGGAGTAATTATTTCATACTTCTCCCTCCCTTCCTCAAATTTAGTTAGTAAATAGAGACATCCGGCTAACTGGTGCCAGTCTGGATGTTGCTAGCTCTGCGAAGGGAGCCCCTCCCTGTAGCAATCCAAGAGTAGCTGTTATATGCTGTGTGGCAAATGATTAACTCTGTCACTCTGAATTTTGTATGCCTGCTTTTAAGTATGATGGACTTGAGTCCTGCAATGGAAAAAACACAAATATCACCTTAAGGCTTACAGTGCAACGATTTTAATGGTCCGCACTAAAATAGGTAGTACAGTTTTGTAGCTCAACATTAAAAGCAGTCTTGCCTTACTTATAATGCTTCTACCTAAGAATGCTTCCTGCTCCCTCTCAGCCCTTCACTTAGGTCTGAGTCTACAGAAGTACTTCTAAAGTGCATTTCTCTGGCGTTAAAAACAGCATTGTGATTTGCTCTCCGACAGCGGGTCCTGGATCCGAGCACTGCTTCCTCATTTGAGGGTCGGCTCAGTTCCAGTAGAGTTACCAGCTCATAGAAGTACCCTTCTCACTCCCCAGGTGGCAAAAGGTGGGAGGCCACCAGAGAACTTTTGGGGGTTAAACACGGTTACGCCAACTTCCTCTGCGGCAGGTATCTTCGCTCACCACAAATAAATATTCAATGCCTCCTTGAACCATGAAATATGGAAAACCCAACTGACACTTCAATTTCCAGGAAATTAAAGTCGTGGAGGCCTTGTGTGAATATTCAGAAGTCGGTGGGATTGGAGCCAGGGGAGGGCCGGAATTCTCGGGTTAGGGTAGGGGGGAGTGGTGGGGAGAGAGGCAGTCCCGCAGCGCTCTGGCTATTGCTTGTCGTCGTGGGGGTCACCAGGGAAGCCCGCCTCCTCTGGGGACCTGACTCCTTCGGGGAGCAGAGTGGCGCGCACTTTCCTCTTCTCCTTAAAGCGGCCGGAGCGCGAGATCTTCAAGTTGCGGCGGCTGCTGCCTGACTTCTCCCCGCACGACTTGTCCGGCTTGTGGGGCTCGCCGGCGCCCCCGAGGAGATTGGGGTGCTGGTTCTCCCGGGAGCAGCTAGTCCAGTCCGCGCTGGGCGGCGCGGGCGGCGCGGGCTCCCCGGGGGCAGGTTGGGCGGGCGGCTGCGCCCCTGCCGCGACTTCCTTGCTTTTCTTTCTGCTGTTGGTTAGCGATTTCCACCAGGGCCCGGAGCTGCCCGTGCCGCCGCTGTCGGCCATGGCCGGGCGGCGCGGGGCGCGGCGGGTGGGGAAGGGCCCCCTCTCCTGGTGGGGCCTGCGGTCCGCGGCAGGAAAGCAGGCTACGGGGTAAGAGCCTAGGCGGCGGCCTGTACCCGGGAAGCAAACAGAACTCGGTTACTGGGTTTGTCCAAGTCACGTGCCCCCAGCCCCACTTCCTCCCCTCGCCCCGCCCAGCACCGGATCGGCAGGGGTCCGAGCGCCCGTAGCCGCGGGCCCAGAGCTGCGCCGCCCTCCGAGGGCACCGCCGCGTCCCCGGGGGCGCAGGCGGACGAGCGGTGGCCTCCAGGGCGCCCCCATCTGGTCTTCAGACAGCTTGGCACTCGCCCGCCTCAACCCTGGCCTGGCCTTCAAGGCCAGTGAGGTGGTCCCCGTGCCCGGGACGCCGGGGGAGGTTCCCGAGCATCTGGATTAACCCCAGCCGAGAGGAAGCTGGCCTGGCCAGTTACCCTGCCTGATTGTAGAGGGACGCCCCAAAGTGACCCAACTCGGCCCCGGGGGGCCTCCGCTTGGATGAGCACCTGGGCAGAGGGTGCCCGGAACGGGGTGAGCTATAGGTGAGCACTGACTATTAGACCCCTGTCAACAGTTCCGAAATCTCCCTCCAAGGGGTTTTTCCAGCGACTTCTGTCCCAGGATCCTTTCCGACGTGGTTCTTCAAGGGGAATTTACATGACGATAAGAGCGAGGGAAAAGCTCATGATGTTTTGTTTCTTTTAAATTCTGCTTTTGACAGAACTTCTGCCTTGCCGCTTTCAGAGAAGCTGGTCTAGACTTCACTTCCCTTGAAAACCGCCGTCCCAACTTCCTTTTATTCCCCAGAGACCAAGCTTACGTCTCTTGGAAGCCACCCCAGGCGACGGTTGTGATGAGGTCAAGCGGCAAATGTCCTCTTCTTTTTAGTTCTGTATTAAAATATGCACCGACTTGGTACCAGGCACCTCGACTCTTGAGATCTTTAGTTACAAATCAGAGGTTTCTGATCCTTTTTGCGCAATTCCTTCCTCCAAAGGAGACACCTGCTGCGCGCCGCCAGGCGCTCCTACCCCAGGTGCTTCTTCCCAGCTTTGAAAACAGCGCTCTGCGGAGCGAGAAGACCGTTCACGAGCACTGAAGGTGCTGATACCGGGAGCCCGACACCGGTGCACACTCGGCTCTAACTGCACGAGCGCGCAGGGTTAGCTCGCGCCGAGGAGCAGTTCCAGGTTGCCGCTGGGCCCTTCCCACCCCACGCGCCTGGTGCTCACGCGAGTTGCCGGCGCGCCGGGGAGCGAAACTTCAGCGGTGTTTGTCGTTGGAGGCTCTGCTCCCGGAACCGCCGGGAAAGTTGGAGCGCCTACGCGAGGCGGCGCCCCGGCTCCTCCCCAGGATGCCCCGAGGGCACACTCGGGCAGCGACTTGAAAACAGTGCAAGGTAAAACCGCCAAAAGTTCTTCCCTTAAAAAGGCACCCTCTCCCCAAAGCACGGTTTGCAGCAAACCTCCTGCTCCCTGTATTTTACGGATCAAAGAAGCACCCCCAAGTTATTCATAGATGGTGGTGGTGGGGTGTCCTGATGGCTGCCTTCTGTCTTCTACCCTACATTCTCTTTTCCACAACCACCGTTGTGTGCACGGAAAGGCTTAGCACCAATTGCGCAAGGAAAAGATTGCAAATTACGCAAATGTACGCAGAGCGCCTGCGGCTCGCAACTTCTCCTCCGGAGCTGGAGCCGGGGGGAGCGCCCCAGGTTGATACCTGGGAACGGACTCTGTCTTGGCGGATGCAGAACCGTCCTGACTGCTCACCTGTTCGGGCTTCCGAAGATCCCACGACTCTGCGCCGACCTCGCCTGCACGAGAACGGAGGGGGTGTATTTGAGACAACCTGGGGAGGTCAGGCTTTTTTTTTTTTTTTCTGGACGGTGTGCCTGCCGAAATCTCTGCAGTCCAGCTAAGCCGAATGCTGCTGCTGCTGCTGGTCTCCCCTGGCGCCTCCAACTTCTGCTCCGCGCAGCGCTGGCGGCAGTTCTGGGCTTGCAGCGCGCCGGGCTCCGGCCTGAGGGCGCCACGGCGAACAGGTGCCAGGCTCACTGCCCCAGGTGGATCCCCAGATAGGCTCTCCGGGCTAGTAGCCTTTCATTCTTGCGCGCCTCCCTTTCCCTGCTAGCGATTCCCGGCAGCCGCGGGGAGATGGGACCTCAGCTGCGCACTCCGGTGTATTGAACCTTCCCACACGTCGGTCCTTTGCACGGGAAAGACATCTGTCTGCCCACCTGTTGGTCATTCGCCAAGTGATTCGAGAAACCAGAACCCGGGGCGGGGGGTGTGGGTGTGTGTGTGTGGAAACACCAACCCAGGAGGCGGCCACAGCTGCCGCAGGTGCAGGTAGTAACTTCGCGTTCCCGCCCTCAAGGGCACGAGATTGGATCAGGTCGCGTCCGTGGCGCCGGCCTTGGGGTGTCTGATTGGAGAAAGGCTGAGCTGCGCCGCACGCCGGTCGGACTCCTCTGGAAGAAGAAACGGTAGAGGAGACCCTGGCCAGGAGACCGAGGCTGGAGGTGGGCTCCGCGGGGTAAATGTTGCCGCAACTCTTCCCCTGCCCCCGCCCTGATTTCTTTTTTCTCTTTCTCTCTGGGTCCCCAGCCATGGCCACTCAACTCCCAGGATTCCACTTTGTAATTCACAGGAACTGTTTCCTATCCAGGCAAAATGTTACAGAGTCGCAGGCACCCTTAGTTGAAAGGTGTAATGTTAACGAGTTCGCTGTGTGCCTGCCTGCCGGGAGCTGTTTCCAGTGCTCTCGGGGTCGGGGTTGGGGGGGGGGGGGGTTAACTCATTTACTCTTCGCAGGAACCCAAGTAGGTAGGTGCTATTGTTACCCTCAGTTGTCGGGCGAGGAGACCCTAGCCCTGAAAGTTAAATGGTTGCTCAAAGTTGCATGCCTGGTAAGTGGGAGAGCCAGATTTGAACCCAGGAGGTCTGACTCCCGCTCCTACGGTCTTAACTAGCACGTTAGACCGCAGCCTGCCAGCCTTGGGCACTTAAAGGATTTTGAGAAGATGTGAATTTCCTTCCCTTAAGACTGGAGGTCCAGTGGACAGGCATTCCATCTGGGGAATACCACTGCAGCCCTGAGCTGCTAGAGGATGTGAACCAGTGTATTTCGGGGAGGGTTCAGGACGCTTGCACTCCTGGGAACACATGCGTGCTTTTTATTGGTTGGGTAGAATGTAATTGCCATAGGTCACTTTCACTAATGAAAGCAGAAGTCCAGCCTGCTTCATCTTGCAGGATGCTCTTCTTTTTCAAAGAATTATTTTGATGTTCCTTGAGGTCATGAATAACTCTACCGAAGGAGCGTGCATAGAGCAACTGACCTCTGAGCATCGTTGTTCTGAGGACTTTCTGAAGCACAAAAATCGTGAAAGGCATGATGCCTATTTCAACTTACAATGTAGACTTAGTGGAAAGATTTTTTTGTAGAATATTTCAGGGCATGAAATATGAAAATGTGAATGCTTTATATCATTAATTTCTTAATTTAGCATTCGTGGATTTTTAAATGACATTCACAACAGTGTGTGTTTGAAAGGGATATAATTTCACATATTTCTTGCGATTAGTTTTAGAGAGTAAACTTTCAATCAGTGCACCGGGACTGGAACAAAGACAGGCCACCCCCTGGGAGAGGAGGACAGAACAAGCCCTCATAGTGCCATCCTATCACAGAGGAAAATACTGGATCAAGGAGGAAGGCTTAAATTGTAGATACTTTAACAGACTCTCTTGTAATTAGGAGTACCCATGTGATCTAGTTCTGGCTTATGGGGCCATAAGGAAGACGTCTGGGGATTTTTCTTTCCTGGATAAAGGAAAGAGCCTTCTGAGAGAAGAATATCTTTTGCTCTACACATGATTTTTACATTTAAGCACAGCATTAGGATGTGATGTCTGGTGTTGCAGCAGCCATATTGTGACAGTGAAGCAACAGGCGTGGAACTAAAAACCAACATACTAAGGATGATGGCATGGGAGTGTGAGAGGTGTCTGGGTCTTGAGGATATTGATGAGCCCCTGAAAGAACCCTGGAAGCATCTACCTCCAGACTACTAGTTGAGTGAGATAATAAAAATTCCTATGATTTCATCACAGATTTAAATAGTTTCCTGTTACTAGCAGCGAAAAAGAGTTCTCCCTTGAGACAGTCTATGAGAGTTATAGAAAAATATATTGTTCAAAAGGGAAAAAAGGTAGGATGGTCACATTTTTTTTCCTGACCAATCTGAAAAGTTCTTCATTGAAGGAGGATTTAGTAAAATATTTAAGTGATGGGAAAGTTTATAGAAGTGGGGGATGCATCTGCAAAACAAGCCACCTACAGTGAAAAGTTGATTTCTCTCTCCAGTGACTCGTAGGTGACTTTCAATGTTACAGAATTTAAATATGCTTAGATTGGGCAATGCTTACATTTCTTAATAATATTTTATCTTGTCATATTTTTAAAGAAATGTGTAGATAGTTTGAGTAAGGACATTTCTTTCTTTCCTTCCTTTCTTCCCTCCTTCCCTCCCTTCCTTTCTCCCTTCCTTCCTTCCTTCCTTCTTAATTCAATGGCCTCTTAGGTGTACTTTTAAGTGCAATAAATGATAACACTCAAAAGCGAAAGAGAATGAATTCCTAGAGGGTAAGACTTGCATATTAGAAATTAAAATAAGAACTTTCAGGGTTAAACCTGGCCTTTGCAATCCTACCAAACCTGGCATTGCTTTGGAGGTTGGGAAATAGATTATTTTCCTTTAAAGCATTTATAGTGGCAACTGAGCAATAGAAAACACATGCTGAGAGAATTTAAGAAGTACAGCCAATCAAAATGAAGAAAAGAAAAATCATTTATATTCTTTTCACCCAGGGATAACCATGGTCAGTGTCGGAGGGTTAGTGCTATTCTTCTTGCCCCTTTTTTTTATGTTTGCTCTTTTCTTCCCTCCCTTCCTCTTCTCCTCTCCTTCATTCCTCTTTTTTTATAGATGCTTCCATTCTTTGAAAATTAGGTGCTGATCTCCAGTGGCCTTTTCCTTTCTTGTCATCGATGTTCTGGTAGTTTGATATTCCTTCTCTCCTTTCTGTGTGTTTGCATCGGTGTTGTTGGATTTGGTTTATAAACTTCAGAGACTGGGCATTACACCCATGCCTGAACTGGGATCTGCTTTTTATAGCCTCACATCCCGAACCCACATCAGGTTAACATGAACGCATGTATAGAAGTACACAATTGCAAGGAACAAAATATTACTAATCATTTTGGTTTTACACTTGACCTGGGCGAGGCTGCTTTGTATGGCCTCTCTCTGAAATTCAAGCAAAACCAGCTGACTCGTCCTAACTTCCCACTCCTATTCCCGCTTGCTGGTCTTATTACTTTGTATTCTTGGGTATTCTTGGATATCCTTGGATTTTTACTCTTTTTCCTTAAAAAAAAAAAAAAAAAAAATGGGGGGCGCCCGGGTGGCTTAGTCGGTTAAGCGTCCGACTTTCGCTCAGGTCATGATCTCGCGGTTCGTGGGTTCGAGCCCCGCGCCGGGCTCTGTGCTGACTGCCAGCTCAGAGCCTGGAGCCTGTTTCAGAGTCTGTCACTCCCTCTCTCTCTGACCCTCTCCTGCTCACGCTGCCTCTCCCTCTCTCTCTCTCCTAGAAATAAGTAAAACATTTTAAAAATTTTTTTAAAAAAATTGGGAGGACCGCTCCTGAAACCATTATTAGGCTATATGTTAACAACTTGGTTTCTAACAAAATTTTAAAAATAAAATAAAATTGGGAGGAAAGCTTATCAACATCTTTCAAACACTATTTAGATTTGTTTTGAAAACATTTACCGTGACATAGTTATCTTGTTCACTTATTTAGTAATTCANTGTCACTCCCTCTCTCTCTGACCCTCCCCTGCTCATGCTGTCTCTCTCTCTCTCTCTCTCCTCGAAATAAATAAATAAAACATTAAAAAAAAAAAATGGTACGAAGATTTAAGGCCTAAAGCCAAGTTAAATCCAGAAAGGATTTTCAAGAATTTAGGGGCACTACCAGACACCACCACTTTATATACACTAAGTTCATGGCTTGAGGAGTGTGAGACCATGAAAACAAGAGATCTCTGTGAGCGCTAGCCCATGGCCAAACCCTCTGGGAACAAATCCCCCCATCATTGCCTAACTCCCAGACCTTTTCTGTTCTAAAGTAACTTAATTGTCCTTGCTGACCTGTGGAGGGTGGGAAGCATGGGTACAGCTTACTTCTAAGCCGCCCATGCCCTGAGAGTATGGCTTTTGGGTGAACCTCGGAAGGAAGGATCCTCTTCTTCTGTGTGCCCTATGCTTTATAATCCCTTCCATTCTGTTCCAGGAGACTCAGAAACTGAAGTTGTTTTGGTTCCCAATTGTTTTCAGCAGGGGAGTTCATCCAAATAACCCAGCCTGCCAGTGACAGGAATGGGTGTGTTTCCACTGGAGTGTAGATTGTTTGCTTGGTGTTTGTCCCATGATTAGATATAATTTTCTTAATTATTGTCTGACTCCCTCACTAGAAAATGAATTCCATTTTATTAAATGATCATAACATTTCTTATGTATGAGGTACACCTCTGCTTTATAAATATTAACTTATTTAATCCTGTGAAATGGGTACTGTTATTATTATAGGTAAGGTAACTGAGACACTCAGAACTTATGTTGCTTGCCCAAGGTCTCCTGGCTAGTAGCATTTGACCTCAGGGATACTGACTTGAGAGTCCAGAGACCTAACTAATCCCTCTGGTGTGTGGCGCTCCGTGAGTACTAAGACATGTCATTAATGAATCTTTCGGACATGACATGCCACCTGGCAATACCAGTTCTTAAATGTTCTCGAATAAGTGACCATCCAATGCATAAATATAAATGCTTTGTTATAACATGACTGGCTCACAAAAAGAAATGTAATGAAAATCGCAATGACATAGCATTTCAATCTGTCATTACTTGTAATGATGGCCGGATTTTAACTCTGAGATGTGGGCACAGTAAGTGGACCAAATTATCTGTTAGATAGGTTTTTGTTTTTGATGTTACAAAACTGGAAGAATACTATCATGTCGCAGCCGTATGAAGGAGAAGCGTTAGGTGGGAGGACACGGAGGGGGCCGAATAATGTAATATACCAGAGAAATTTTATTCATTATTGTCCTTAGGGAATAAATGAGTGATCTAGAGGACCCAGCATTGCGAAACAAATCTCCACGGCACATCCTGACTCCGGAA